AATACGATATGGATCCGTGCTGCAGTGTGGATGGACCTCAAAAACATGCTAAATGAAAGAAGCCAGATACAAGAGGCCATGTATGATCCCATTGATGCGAAATATCCACGATAGACGCACCCATGGAGACAGAACACAGATTAGTGGTTGGCTGGGAGGAGTGGGGAGTAGGGAGTCATTGCTGTGGGGTTTCCTTCTGGGGTGAAGAAAATGGGAACTAGGGCCGGGGGTGGTGGCTTCTCACCTGTAATCCCAGCACTTTGGGAGGCTGAGGCGCGTGGATCACTTGAGGTCAGGAGTTTGAGACCAGCCTGACCAACATGGGGAAACCCCCTCTGTACTAAAAATACAAAAATTAGCTGAGTGTGCTGGTGCCTGTAAGCCCAGCTACTTGGGAGGCTGAGGCAGGGGAATCGCTTGAACCCAGGATGCAGAGGTTGCAGTGAGCCGAGATTGAGCCACTGCACTCCAGCCTGGGTGACAGTGAGACTCTGTCTCAAAAAAAAAAAAAAGGCTAAATGTCCACATATCCACACATGAGAGGAGAAGTTCAGAGTGAATGCACAGGTGAACGCCGATGGGGTGTCTCTGGTGACGAGCTTACAGGGGCTTTTGTGTGTTTTCCCAATCCCACGGGGAACCTGTTGAATTCTGAAGCTGAGACCGGTGTACGCGTTCTCTAAGCACAGACGCTGCATTCTAACCATGGTGAGGAGGTGGCCCCAGCGAGCTGCGTGGCCAGCCTCACCCCACAGCAGAGTCAGGTGGTCAGTCTTTACCCGCAGTCATGGGGTGGGTGGAGAGGGAGAGGGTGCAGAGAGGGGCCCGCGCCCGTCCCTTGGCACAGCCGTTCTCCACTTGGTCTCTCCCTTGGTGGCCGCTGGTTGCCGACTGACCGGGTGCCCTTTGTGGATTCTTCCTCTGGAGAAGCTGCTGGGCTTGGCTGCTGGGTTGTACTTCCTGCGGTGAGGGAGGGGGAGACTCCGCTGCAGCCGGGGCCATTTGGGTTCGAAGCTCCTGCTGGAGCTTCCCTTCCTCAGCTTCCTGCTGGGCGTCTTGCTGTGAGGTCTCCTGGTGATGCCCGGTGTGGGAGGGAGGTGCCGGATGAGCATGCCCGCTGCGGGGCCAGACTGCCCGCCTCTGGCTCTAGGGGTTCAGGAGGCCTGGCCTGGCTGGACCTGGGGTGCCCGGGCCTGCCTGTACCTTCTGGGTTGGTCTCTGCAGTGCATCTGTGCTCTGAGCACAAGCCAAGGCATTCGTGTGGAGGCCCGGGGCGCCAGGAACCTGGTAGGGTGCTGGGAGCTTGGCAGGGTGCTGTGAGCCTGGCAGGGTGCCGCCTCTGGTGTGGGCAGTTCTTCTCTTACGTAGGTTTGCCCTGCACGTCTGCAGGAGCTGCTTCTTGGTCTCCCCACACCCTCCTGCCCATGGGCCCTGGATGCAGAGGGTGCTGGGGAGCTGGTCAGTGCCCACACGTGGATGTCCCTGCCTGGGCCTTTCTGAGAGGAGGTGACCCCTGAGGTGGGGTCTTTGGGAGTCTGCTAGAGCTGTGCGTGGGGTGCACAGCCCTGCCCTGTCTGAAGGGGGTCGTGTTTCAACAGGGAGCTGCGTCAGAGTTTTTGGTAGATGCTACTGTAGACCTCATATCCGATGAGTGGGAAGCTGCTCATGCCATACCCCGCAAGAGAAGGAAGCAGGACGCAGCCCCGCTTGAGGCCGCCGGCGTGCCTTCTGCAGACTGTGAGCAGGTAGTCTGAGTCAACAGTTGGGCAGTTTGCTCCCCGCCCGCCCCCGTGCATGCCGGCACAGCCACCTCGCGCTTCCGGCCCTGGAGTCCCCGCCAGCCAAGGAAGGCTGCCCAGGACTGGCGTTCTCAGGTCACCCTTGGGCTGTGACAGAGCAACGCTGATTCAGGCTTGGCTCTTGTGACTCTGAGGACATTTTGCTAGCGGTGAATTTCTGCTTTGTTGTGCTTGCCCTTCTGGCCCCCATCCTTCCACTCGCCTTTTTACTCCATGCAGCTGTCCCCTTGGACACCTGGAGAAACTTAACCTGGTTGCACTCACCTGGCAAAAGGTCCACTGGCAACACAGGCTTCACCACAGACAGCAGGAGGGGAGCCTGAGGGGCTGAGAGGGCCGGGCCCAGGCAGGCGGGGGCGGGACCAGGCCTCTGCCTGACCACAAGGTCTTGGATGGCACTCGCCGCATGGGGGTGTAGTGGAAACCCTGCTCAGTTTAGTCTCTGGTTTCTGGAAGTTGAAATCCTGACTTTTTCTTTCTTTCTTTCCTTTTTTTGAGATGGAGTCTCGCTCTGTTGCCTAGGCTGGAGTGCAGTGGCACGATCTCAGCTCACTGCAACCTCCGCCTCCCGGGTTCAAGCAATTCTCCTGCCTCTCCCTCCTGAGTAACTGGGACTACAGGCGCCTGCCACCACGTCCGGCTACTTTTTTTGTGTATTTTTAGTAGAGATGGGGTTTCACCATGTTGGCCAGGCTGGTCTTGAACTCCTGGCCTCAAATTACCCACCTGCCTCAGCCTCCCAAAGTGCTGGGATTACAGACGTGAGCCACTGTGCCTGTCCAAAATCCTGACTTTTTCTATAGCATTTAGAAGTATTACAGGACTCACTAATAATATCGAAAATGAAATTAGCTAACACATGTAATGAAACTTTTGCTTTTGGGAAAAAGCAAGGGAGCTTCATACCTTGAAGAGTGATATTTGTGAAGTTTATTACTGTTTTACAGAGGGCGACACTCCCCGCCTTCCCTGCGCCGCTCCCCCCGGCCCATCGAGATGGTCACGTGTTCATTGAACAGAGATTTACTGAGCATCCACCACCTGCGGTGGGTCCTAGGTCTCAGGTGTACGCAGAAACGTTCGAGGCAGGCGTGCTCTTTCCTCTATGGCCTGGGGCTTGGCCGTGAGCCCGCTCCTGCAGCTCTTGGGAAATGCAGGCAGCATCCACACGGGGCTGGACTTACCCAGACCTAAGGCACGGTGTGGGTGGAGAGCTCATTCTCAATAGCAACAAAAATATGAGAAGCAACTTATAAAATAAAGGACGGATTCATAGGCCTGGCGAGGAGAAGGCTCTGGGGCTCAGCAGACAGTGAAGCCCCTGGAGAGGTGGACCCTTCCCCAGAGAGAACGTGGAAGGTTTAGCACTGCAGAGATGTCTGCTGTCACCCAGAGTGACACAGGAACTTAACCAACTAATTAATGTGTAACAGTAGTATAGCTCTGAATGGGTTTGGTGGTTTTTGTTTTTGTTTTGAGACAGGGTCTCGCCCTGTGTCCCAGGCTGGAGTGCTGTGGCAAAATCATAGCTCATTGCAGCCTTGACTTCCTGGGCTCAAGCAATCCTCGTGCCTCAGCCTCCCGAGTAGCTGGGACTACAGGCGTGCACCACCACGCCCAGTTAATTTTTTAAATTTTTGGTAGAGATGGGGTCTTGCTGTGTTACCCAGGCTGGTCTCAAACCCCTGGGCTCAAGCGATTCTCCCACCTCAGCCTCCCAAAGTGCAGGGATTACAGGCATAAACCACCACCCCAGCCTGGTTTTGTAGTTTTGGAAGCTGACAGAAAGATTTTAAACTATCAATTGGAGAAGATACTTAACGGATGTGAGAAGGAGGAGAAATGGATGGGAAATTTATAGTAAAACTGTCAACGTACATGGGTGGAAACATTCCCGTGGAGTAACAGGCACAACCTGGGGATGCGCACGGAGCATGAGTTGTGAGCTGGAGTGATGCACGGCATGTGCGCACCGGAGCGTGTTGGTCACGGTGTACACACGGGTGTGGAAAGTGGGGTGTCTGAACCATGGGCTCAGCATTTGGGTACAACACACACACCCCACTCACCCCACTCACAAACCCCCACATACCCCCCCAACACACACACCCCACTCACACCACACACACACCCCACTCACATCACACACACACCCCACTCACACCACACACACCCCACTCACATCACACATCCCACTCACACCACTCACACACTCCCAACACACACATCCCACTCACACCACTCACAACACACATATACCCCACTCACACCCCCAACACACACACCCCACTCACACACCCCCAACACACACATCCCACTCACACCACTCACACCACACACACACCCCACTCACATGACACACACACCCC